TGCGTGCTGTTTCAAGAGCTTCTCCTCCTGACGGAGGTATTATTAAATTCCATTTATACCCCCCTGCCTAGACTGATGATAAAGTATTTACTGTAAAAAATAAAAAATTATTATAAATGTTTGTCATTTATTTATTCCATACGTTATTAATTTTAAATGAATATAAATAAATAGTTAAATTCTTTTAAAAAAATAATTTTAAGAAATTAATAATTTGGTGCTTATCTCTTATATTTTTACCATATTTTAAAGAATCCAATAAATATTATTACTAATTATTTATAACAAGTAAATAAACGATCACAAAAGTTTAATTGTAATTTAATCTAAAACATATATTTATAAATTTAAAAAATCCTAAAATATTAAATATAAAGTAAAATTTAACTTTTTAAGAAATTATAAAAATAAAAAAATACAATTGCAAGTATATATTGAATATATAGAGATATATTGTTTAAGATTAATTAATATATTGTAAGTCAAAAAGTTTAAATTTTCGTCCTATCATCTTGGAAAATTATATAGTATACAAATTTAAATAATATATTGCCGTATTTTGTAGTTATTATATATCTATTTTTGTAATTAGCATAAAGTTGTTTGACTAGGGAGAAATCATTTATTAGTTTGACATTAAGATCTTACTTTAATTGTATCTCCCATTTAAAATTATTATAAGTACAATTTTAATTTTAATGAATTAATAATATATCACTAATTTTAACTACCATAATTTGTACATGTTTAGCTTGATTGTTGTTCATGATTCACCAATCTTAATTTGCATAAGTCAGAAAATAGATTGTTAAAAAAGTGAAATATGTGTGTGTGTGTGTGTGTGTGGGTATGCACAAATATTTAATAAAATATATATACAAATATTCATAGGTTTTCATTAAAGAGCACCATATGTATATCATAAGTTTTGAGTAAATTAACTCTTAACATAATGGTTTAATAGTTAAGATTATTGTACTTTATTTCAAAGTCACAAATTTAAATTTTAATAAGTATGTACCATTTTGTAAACTAACCATAATGTTTAATTTAAAATGACCAAGAAATTACCTTATATTAACTCAATAATGTATTAGCGCAATAATAACTATAATAACCAAGTTAGATTTTTTCATATCGAGTCATAATATATTCAGATGAAATAAATATTTTTATGATGGTCAAATTTATGATTATAGTGAAATTTATTTTATTAATTAAGTGGTCACAAATAATAATGATAATATGTACAAGTGAGAATAATCGTGAGTATTTACAATTATATTTTCAGATATTGACATGGAAGCTAACCAGAGATGTAATATTAAGTAATGATAAGTAATAGTCAAAGTAAAAAGTAAAAGCAAAAGAGTGTAAACCCTTAGAGATTCGTTCACACCACTTGTATGTAAATTCTCTTTTTTGAAGTTAACTTGAGAATCTACTAATTTCTTCGAAGTATTGTAATAAACTAGCTGTTCACGATACTTAACTCATTAATCATTCATGTTCATCCCAACAAAACAGTTTGTTTGTTACAATGTTAAACTCACTTATCACTCATATTCCTCTCAAATATTACAGTTTATCTATCAAGATACAACGTTCACCTATTACTCATATTCTCCATAACGTTATAAATTGTCTATCAAGATGTTATACTCATTTATCAATCATGTTCTTTCGACACTATATGTAATACCAGGGTCCGAAAATTGGTCCAGGATAAATTTTTTTCTTATTAAATTATTTATAAAATAATTATTTAATTTTTATATTTTAATTTATTTACATTTTTGAGAAAAAATGAATTAAGAACGAAATTGAAAAAAAAATGAGAAAAATGGATAAAATTTTGAATTCGAAAGTATTTTTAAAAGAAAAATTAGAAAAAAATGGTCAAAATATAAATAGAAGAAATTCGGCCACGTGAGACAGCCCAGTTAGCAACCAAGGCGAATTAGGGCCCGCCGCATGGCAAAACACGCTGATGTCGGAGCCACGCAGGGGACCACGCTGGCGATCTACATCCCCAGCAATCCGATGGCTCAGGATTGATCCTGTGCGTGTGGACGACTCAGATGCATTCTCATTTTAGGCTTGATCAGACAAACGAGATCAAATACGATGAACGGATGACATTCGATCACCCCATCTGCAACGCCCGAAAAATG